CTAAACAAGCAGATTTGGGTTATATAGTGGGAACACGTTATACTATTGCGGCATGTTCAAGCCACTGTGTTTTTGGTGGAAAAAGTGTGGACGTAGCCACCCTGAAGTGCCATGCAGGTTTTCAGTGCCTTGAGGCTGGCCGGATGCGTGGCTGCACATGCATGGTGGCTTTGAAATCGCCTGTCAGCCTCAATAGAACAAAAGTTGCTATGAGTCCCGGACACCGGACAGGTACTGCCATGAGCGCTTCTCGTTTGCAGGCAGATTAAAACCAGGTACAACCTGCTACAGTAGTGCCCTGCGCCACTTCTGGATGCAGGGCTGACGAGCTGAGGCAACGTACTTCACAGGGATCTGAAGCCGGTAGCCGGACTGCATTGGCGTTGCCATGTCTCGTGCTTTGCTTTGTGCCCATATTGACCTTGGTTGAGGACAACATCATGGTGCAACATCACAGCTGCGAGACACCGCCCGCGACCCCAGCCATGATGGCGCCAGAGGCGGGAAGCCAGCCACCAAGCGGAGCTATGACCGTCACTTGGCTGTCAGGTGAAGCTTATCGACTTCGGCCTGGCGGTGATCACGACCCGCGAGGTCCTGGGCCGTTCTGGTTCGTCAGTGATAGGCTCTGAGGACTACCTGGCACCGGAGGCCAGGCCGTTGCACAGCGTTAGCCCTTGTAGCCCTTGTATCCACCACATCTACCACACCGCTGACACCAGTCTGCGAGGCCAGGCAAGGCAGCCATCTCCCAGCTTCAGATGTTTGGAGTGCTGGCATGGCGCCTTGACATTGAGTCTATTCTCTAGACTGCATCAAGGCCAGAATCACCTGTCACATCTGGCGCAAATTGCCTTTCAGGTGTTGCACGCAATGCTGCGTGGCAGCCTTCCGAAATGGGAAAACGACAAGGCTGGTGATGCAGCACCTTCATTCATGCAGCACCTTCACTCCTCCTTAAATCCTCACGTAGAATGTTGTGTCTAACTAGGGCTGGATGGCTCCAATCCTTAGAACCTTAGCACAATGATGGAGTGGACACCACAGAAATCAAACAGCAGAATGGGTCCAGTACATTCCAGTACCATTCCTAGCTTTATCTAGTACTCGTACTCGCGAAGGGCAGGTCAAACATCTGAGACTGGCCTGAAGGAGCTGGATTTCGACACTGCGGGATACAAGTCCCTATCTTCCTCTGCCCGAGACCTGCTCAAAGGCTTGGACTTTCCGCTGCTTTTGATGTGCAGATTTTCCAAGAGTCTTCGGTTTCACTGCTACGCATTTACTTTCTCGTGAGCTTCTCATTGAGCAGGGAAGACTGAGGTTCTGGCTTCGTTGGATTCTTCAGTGTTTTCAGCTTTGCTTTTCTCCAAAGGTTACACAAGAGAGTTCCTAGCTTTGGTATAGCGAAGTCTTGCACAACAAACTAATCTGATCTATCCCGGCATCCTTCAATCCAGGCCTCAGCCAATTTGTGGGTTCGACATATAGCAGCTGGAAACTAATACGTTTGGCCTAATATACTAATATAGGAAAGACTTGTCATGGACCTGCCCACCTTAGGGTATATCGCATGGAACAAAGTTTGCACAGGCGCGTGGAAAAGATCGGGATGCCGACTGTGGTGTTGGACAGGGATCAGGAATAGTGACATGCTTCAGGGAAATCATTGTGAACCTGTCATTTTTGAAGGGGATCAGAATAATCAACAGTTTTGGGGTCCAACAGAAAAAACTGATCAAACCAACCCCTCATTCAACTTAAGTTTACTTCAGCTGTGAAGAGCTGGAAGGTGCTCTCTGACACTCAGACATTCAGCGCTAGAAGCACCAGTGACACTGAATCACCAAAGCTTTGCTTGAAAGCTTTCAAGCTCAGGCCTTAAGGAATTGCATGCTTCACCACCAAAATCCTCATGTCTGATCTATTCAGCAAGATCGCAGAAGTCGGCACAAGCTTCAACATCCAGACGCTGAGAGACCCCAGCGCCATATGAATCGCTCATCCGGAATTGAAAACAATCCAGCGTTTTGTTTTTGAGCAGGGTAGTCCAGGAGTCCAGGAGAGGCTTGGATTGGAGCTGGGCAGTTGTTTTGGGGTTCGGAAGAACAGCAAACTGGTCCATCCCCCTAAACCTTAATAAGGAAACCTAAAAAATACAAGGGCTTGAAACTTAGGCTTTGACAGGATTGAAATTTGAACGCTATAAAACCGATCACATGGCAGACGAAAAACTTCCAGAGGTAAAAAGGCGCAGCTTCATATAGATCGTTCATACGTGATAGTACAAAAACCATCGAGCACTCAATTGTTGAAGGGGTAGTCCAACAGCGGTTTGGATACCCCCCACCCCCTACTATTAAATACTCCCCATTGTCTATTATCGTATATTGGGAGTATTTAATATTAGGCGGCGTTGCAGGGTTTGGATATTAAGGGGAGGGGATTCAAGCAGTCCGACTTCTCGGGAGGCCTCCTGGCCCTGGATGCAGCGGATCGACTTCCTGCAGCCGCAGCTCTGGCGCATCCCTGGACCCAGGGTCTGGAGTCCCGAACGCCCAAGGACCAAAGAGCTGTTATCTAAACTCCTCCAAGGGGAATATTGTAAGGGTTATTAAGGGGGATGCTAGGAGTTACATCCAAAAGACCATCCTCGCCGAGGGGGGAAGAAGTAGCAAAGCCAAGAGGTACTCACGTTGGTGAGAGGAACGTTTTCAAAAAAAAACAAAAAACACACGAACCGCAAGCAGTACCAGTCCAGGCAGGAAGCAGAGAAGCAACACCAGAATCAGCGGCAGCTTCGTGAAACTTGGTGGGAAGGCCGTCCCAAAAAGACGTTACTTCAAACTTAAATTGCAATTCTATATGCTCAGAGTTACACGTGCAGCAGCATTGCATGACATGTCAACCCAGCCTTATCCAATGCTTTGCTTGTTTTGCGTCGGACTGTGAAGCAGGACCTGACACCAACCTTGGTGGCTTGGCTTGCGGATTTTCCTGGCAAATCTGACTGACGCAAGAGAATCTCATGCAACATTCCTGTGCCGTTGATGCTCCACTGCTGACTCAGACCTCCTTCGTGGCTTTCCATCGTAGCGCTAAACTCCGGCGGGCGGCATTGGCAGCCTTGGCTACACAGCTTACAAGCTGGCAGCTGCGGGCACTCCGGGCGAATGTTTGCAAAGTTTACATCTTTTCAAATGCATCAGCTCGAGTTGACGTTCTTGCGGTCTACTGGTTCATGGCAGGACCTTCGAGAACAATTCTTACTGGTAGATGCAAATGGCTGCTTGGCAGTTAATCTTAGTGGTTGTTAGTAGGGACTATGGGAACATAACACCTACAGAATCCCTATAGAATATATCCCCTTATTCCCTGCTAACAACCAGCAAGTCACGAGCTACATCCAGGCAGTCACTGGGTCCATGGTTTTGGGCCTTCTGATCGAACCATGTGCCGTGCAGTTTGAAGTTGTAGTGAGGACGGATTGTTCTGGCACTGTAGACTCCTGACATTCATTTGTTGAACAGGGTGCTTTAGGGAAAAGTCGCAGATGAAGGGCTCTGGGGGTGCTACTAACAATATTGCGTCTACTCACAGGTGATGGTCGGATCTCAAAGGAGGACTTGACCATGTCCATCGCTCTTTCTTCCCCAGGCTTGGGCATACTTCCTGCTGACCTGCGCCTGTTTGCATGCAGCATCGTTGAATCGCAGGTGGGGCTGCTGAAGATGTGCGGCGTTGGGTTGAAACGATCTTTGACTCTGCGCCATACCTGCACTAAAGTGACAGTTTTGCTTTTCTCTGTTGCTTTGTAGCTTCCCGGACAGACGAGCATTGTGTGCTGGTCCACACAGGCATGGTCATGCAGCCGAATTCATCACCACTGCCAATTTTGTTTCATATTGTTGCATGGTTTCACGACGTTGCCGAACATATGACCACAATCACTGGTCTCTTGCAGAGGTGTTCTTGGAAGGTGACCGAGATATCGAATACACCGTCGCTTTTTTTGCATTCAGTGCCAATTGTGCTAGTTTTTGTTGCTGCCACGGCTGGGCTTTTTTTGCCAAGCATGGCAGCCATGGTAAGACGCATTTGCAGAGCTTCTTCTACTTTATTTGCCTAACTCTTACAGGGTCCGTACTGTTGGGGTTCGGGGTTACCAACATCGTTATATAGTGACGTCTAGTCTAGGCTTGACTCGTGGGGCTTAGGTACTAGGAAGATGATATGGGAACTGGGAGCATATAAAGGTTTATGGGCATGAGGGGGGATGTAGAAGCCTGAACAGGTACCTATGTTGTTCCTGTATGATCCTTTCATAAATGTACGTAGCATAACCTACCCCCCCCAACAACGTTTCGATAAGACCAAGGGGCCCTAAATTATACGCAACTTTGGTCAGGAGGGCTCACTCAGTATACCTACTAGGACTTGCTAAGTCCCTCAACCCTCTAAACGGGGACGCCACACAGCGGGCGTCCCTTTACAACAAACTGGGTTCCTTTTTTTGTGGTCATGGAGTTCTTCACTGGGGTCTGTCCTATTTGGCCCCCGGCTAAGACTCTACCCTGCTCGCGTTGCGGGGGCCCCTTGGTTTTGGGGCTGGGGCTATTTCAGGATGGTACAATCTTTTTGTGATTATTTTTCTGTCTAGTTTATTGTTTCAGGAACTACAGCTCCTGGATTTCAAGTTCAGGGCTCACACGGCACAGAGGGTCGTACCTTTCGAAGAGCCTTCAACCAAAACGCTTGGCGAGACATTGACTTGGATGCAAGGAATGGCTTGCTGCTGTGCTGCAGCAAGGTGAGTATGTGTCCGAGGAGTCCTGCTTACTCTGCTATAGTAATAACAGCAACAATACTAATAATATTGGTAATGATAGCAATAATCGTAGTAATAGTAATAATAGTAGTAGTAATAGAAGCAATTAATTGTGATTATAGTCCCACCTGTAGGTAGGGGAGGTCAGCTCTGAGAAGGGTCGCAGGTAAAGGTTTCGCTGGAAAGCCGTAAATGCTTTGTGATGCTCTGCGATGCTTGCAGGAGGCCGTCCGGGCGGCTTTTCGCATTTTCGACACAGATGGCACGATGCCTAGTTCATGGTAGCAAATAATAATGGTAATGATATAATGGTAATGATAGCAATAATAGTAGTAATAGTAATAATACTAATAGTAGCAAATAACAGTAATTATAGTCCGTCCCACCTGTAGGATGAAGTTGGTGATTAAACTGCTGTCGCGGCTGCCGCCACAGTGTAGGCCAGAGGCAATGACAATTACTCCCTGCTTTCCTAAACTGGAGCCACAAACCCAAAGCTCCCAATGTATACATACTGGAGCCTAAACATGAATCGGATGCGTTGCCATCAAAACCCATTTTGAAACCCGTTTTGAAGAAACCGATCGGCTTGAGCAGAAGAAAGGGGGTTTGGGAGGGGTAAGGGGCATCTAACTATGACCAGGGGTCCTGAGATCAAAGAGCCCCGTGCCTCAGGCATCGGATCCGTCTTATGTGTTGCGCCATAGGCCACATGGGATTTCTGCCAGGTGATGGCTTCATCAACCAGGGTGAGTTGGGACAGGCATGAGGGCAAGTCAAGTCCAAGCGCAAGCAAGGAAGCAAGCTCTTGCTTTCAGGTACTTGCGCAGACGCCGGAGGAGGTTGCGGGCTTCTTCCCTGACTTTGACACAAATGGGGATGGTGCTCCGTGGCTGATTTAACCTGCAGCGGGCGCGTTTGAAAGTTCTTGCCGCAACCGGTCGCTTCAACTGAGGTTTTGGATTTCAACGAGTTTAAAGGTATTTTCACAGGAGATGCTGGAGGCGCGAATGCAAAACATGCAGCTGAGGCCAAAGCAGCGTAACCAGTTGGGCCCAAGAGCCATGCACTGGAATGTGATTAGCCATTTGATGTCGCACTACTTTCGCCTTCAGATCCCTCCATTTCCTGCAAGACTTTCACAATGCGGAGGCGTCGGAGCCTCCCTGCACTGCGAGTTGCACTCGCCCTGTTACCGCAGCGTGGTGTCGCTTTGATGGCCAGGCCAGATGGAGAGTTGAAGTGTTGCCGCACTAGATGACAGATTGGGGAGTGGTGGACATTTTGCAGAATGTCTTCAGTATTGTGAATGACCTGTTAGAATCTGATTGTTTACTGCTTTGCTTGATCTGGCGAGCCTTTCTGCAACTCAGAAGCTTGCGCACAGGTGACCAGCTGGTCGCATTTGAGACACTGACAAAGCTCTGCTAGCAAGGAGTGAGTTTTAAAAAGAAGGTTCAGACCCTCGACGAAGTCAAGCCGACCCGGCGTGACAGAAGCGCATGTTGGGTTGCCTTCCTGAGGCCTGAGACGGCAGGGAAAGCGGACAGCTGTTCTAGGATTTTCGACGAGTGCTTTTATGAGCCATCCATAAGCTTAAGTCCTGGAAGCATGCTTCAAATCAGGAAGGCACCCTCTTGCGCGTCCATTCTAATCTAGCCTCAAGCATTAAACATGTGAGCTGATGTTCAAAGTGCCGCCGCCTCTCTTCGGGTTCGTAGGTACAACACGGAATAAGTCCAAGACATACCATGCGAAATTCTCCCCATCGCGCTAAAGATGCTAGAGACTTACATCAAATGGCCCAGGGGCCACAGGAACACGGCTTTGGTCACCAGCTCACATGCTCCGTAGGTCAGGAGCTCTGTACATGCTGATTCTCAAAAGGTGGATCCCAAGAAATATGGCGACAACATTCAAGAAGTACTGATACTTGTCCTGCTTTTGCCAATGCTTGCACCCCTTCACAGTCTCTGTAGAGGCTATCGTAGTGAAGGCATCTGGAAAGGGCGCCCCCCCCCATATTCTTCAAATTTTGTCAAAATGGATTTCGCCTTTCAGAGGTAGCTTGGAGTGACTGCTAACTGGTTCCCCGCAGAGTGAGTGCTCGCTCGGCGAGCTGGTAAATACGAGCAAGGCAGCCGCCAGGTTCACAGTCCTACAGCAAGACTTTCTGCTCATGGCTTGCGGGCATACGAGCAAGGTTCGCTACCACAGCCTCATACAAGCGGCATGCAACATCATGACCAGGTGTAGCGCGGATTCAACAGAGTAGTAGGAACCTCTGTTGCAGTAGTCGCCCAGTGTCAGTACCAGCTCAGTGGCAGGAGGCGTGCTTTGTCAAGACTGCTTCACATCTTGTAGGTTAGAGAGGCTGCCTTCTCAATGCCAGCTTCCAAATTCACATGCACATTGGGCTGACGGCAGAGATGAGAGTGAGGAATCATTCATCTAGAGCGCAGCAGTGGGCCCGGTAGTTTTTCATAGCAGGTTGGAATTGGGATTGAGCATGAGTGAGGCTGGGAGATGCGAGTTTTCCACAAGATATACACAAGGCAATCATTGGAGATTGTAACTATTAACTATATGGCTTAGCCCATGTGTGTGTGTTCTCCAGCAGGCATAAGCTAGGCCGCACCCAGTGTAAAAAGCAATTCCGGGCTGCGACATGTTCAGCTTGGAAGATTGCGGCAGCCACTGCTACATCCCGGGCTGTCAGTCCAGTACAGGGACTGGGCATTCATGGCACATCGCCTGTTTTGCGGCATGATTTTCCACCCCTTGTACCTACAGGTTTCAAAGAATTCGAGATGGTTATGCCCCGCGCGCACCAGTGGCATTTGCTGAGCTCCTAGCTGCTGAGCAGACTGGCGCTGGGTCTGAGCGCGCCCTAACTTTTTGCCCTGCTTCCTCCAAAGGATGGCCAGGTTACAGTTTGCGGTGTCAATGCCCCTGCCGAAAGCAGGTGCGTGTTACCAGCGTGCTTCTCCCGAAAGCATTCGTACGGGCCGTCGAGCCGACTTTCAGCAGTTCGCCAAGGTTGATTGCAAGTGTTGTTGCAGAGCTATGAGATGCACTTACGCACAATCTGCCCATGCAACAGCCGCCTCCTGCAGGTCCAGCAATCATGCAGCAAATGACACAAATGCTGCTGAGGAGCACGATGTTCTTTTGCCTCAAGTGCGCAGGCTTCCCATGAGGAGCAGAGCGCGACCAACCCTGGTGAGCTGGGGGAGGCCAGCTGATAAACGAGTAGGATCAAGTAGGCATGCTGATGGTAATACAATCTGTGATCGCACCAGTTAAATGCTCCAATAGACTCAACGTGATGAATCCCAAAGATAGCCAATGCGGAACAGAGCAAAGGCCGCTGCCGTGCGTCCGCCTGGCATCTACCAAGGGCCGCTTTGCTGAAGTTGCTTGCCTGGCCATTTTGGCCTTGGAGCAGACAGTTGACTTGTGCATGCTGAGGAAGCCACGAGATCCCAAACCCCGGCAGACCAGCCACGTTGCGCAAGGCCGGAGAAGTTTGGAAGATGGTCTCCAATATCTCCACCCTGAGGGGCCCAGACATTACAAGTTGTTAAAGCTCTCTGTCTATTTGGCTAGGTTGAAGCGATCATGACAGAACTGGCACCAGTCTACATGTCACACTAGCCCTTGCCAGACGAATCGCCCAAGAGGGGACGCGGCGAAGCAGGCTTGGTACATGAGAGTATTCTGATATGGGGACTTCATAGGGTATATATATATATATACATATGTTCTTACTTTATTCCCTGCTAGCCACCAGTAAGTATTCGGATCCAATCTTTGAAGGTGTTTTGATGTTACTCTTGTCAGATGGTCCAGTTTGGATTGAAGCCGCGCTGCTGAACTGAGCCTACAAAGACCTGCATCGCCGGGGGGGGGGGGCAGGGCATACAAAAAATTGAGTCTCTTTGCCAAGCTGAGATGCAGGCTCCCTCTCCCTGACCAGCGAAGCGCTCTCAGCAAACACGAGCTTCGGGCATTCTTGCGGGGAATACTGCTTTCGCACCATCAGATCTAGGCCGTCATTTTTCAAGACTATGTGATACTAATCAATTGCTTGCACTTGTATCCCCTCACAAGCCAAAGTTCGTCGTGCTCTGTGCACAATGATGCGATTCATCACTGGGGATGCTCCAGTTTGCTGACAAGACCTCCTCTTCCTATGCCAGGGTAATGGCAAGCTCCTTCGACCAGCTGGATGGCTTTCCATCGTCTGCCACAAGAGAGGCCAAGCAGGCACGAGGCACAAAACGCTGCATAGGCAGCCAAGCATGCGGTGACTAAACCGAGCTGAGATTTACTGCTTCAAAAGCTCCTGAGGGCAGCAAGTAGTTGGGATTCATGTTCATGGTGTTTCCCCCGAATACGAGTCCGTGACGCAGTTCACACCCCGCAAAGAATGAAGGACCAATGGGAGACGATGTCTGCCATGCGCGATGAGTTGGGGCCTAATCTTTTTGGGTTCGATGACAACGCACAAAATGGGGTAGCTTAGCTGGGAGAGGCATTGCTTCTATTACCTGCAATGGAGCTTCTTTCAAGGTGTTTAGTCCTACAGTTTAATCCGCCTGGTTTGTGAAGTGCAGCCGTTGCCCTGGTGTTGTCGGGTTGTTCGTTTTCTTTCTCTGCCATTGCTGATGTGAGCGTATGCCACGCTTCACTGAGCATCGTGTATGCGCCACCCTGGCTAGTGTGCGTCTCTTGGGCGTGCATTCCTGATGCATTGCAGAGGGTTTAGCATGGGTGAACGTTCGGTACTAGCCGACACCCGTTTGATTGGAATTGACAGCGCACGCTCACGAACAATAATCCAAGCCACAAAACTTGAAAATCGACCACACACTCAGCAACTTACAATGACCATACTACTCAAGCGAAAGCAACAAATACACCCACATTTCACAACCATGAGAATTCCATGGAAGATTCGTGTAATCCCAGCACTTCCAGCACAAAAAACAAGAGCTGCTAGGTTTGTGGGTGTCGTCTACCATAATTTCAGGATGCCGATGGAGGGATGGCCAAGCCGCTGCAGCTTGTGCGCGGACTGCGCGGAGGGCTTTGCATTTTCATCCCGGCTTTGCTGGGCCCGGAGGTTTCGCCAGAGGAGTTGAGCCACTTCGGGCAGATGGCCGCGGCGGTGCGGCAGACGTGGCTGACGAACAGCACGACCTTTGTGGTGCCCGAGGAAGGTGGCGAGGCTCCAGGGCTGCTGGAGCAACTTGACGGCCTGCAGATAACCAGGCTCACAGTGAAAGGCTCCTTGCCGTGGCGGTCGCTCAGGGCTCTGGGACTCTGGCGTCACATCGTATCATTGCTGGAGGAGGGAGGTGGCTCCGGTAAGTGCAACTGGGTCATGAAAATCCCTGTGTGGAGTTATGTGAATGCGCCGACACTCGAAAGCCGCCTGGCCTGCTTCAATGCATCAGACACCTACTTTCTTGGCGTGCCCACTGTGGCATACAGTCCTGGTGAAGAGCCATTCATGTTTCCAAATCCTTGGGGCGGCATCATCATTAGTCGCGGGCTCTTGGAGCATGTTGCCGCCTGGACGGAATACTGCATGCGATATGCCGAGACCATGGACACTCAGTATGGTTCTGATAGCTTCTTTGATGACTACACGTTCTCCATGTGCATGAGTGATTTGGGACAAGTGGTTGCAAGCAACTATGCCGACATCGAGGGCAGTTTCCTTCTGTATGACCGGCCGAACCACACTGTCATGAAATTCAAGGGCCATCCGGACACACTGAAGCAATGCTTACTTGTTGTCGGAAAGCTTGACACAGCTGGACAGGTTCTGCACGTGCATGATCGCATCTCGTGGTCGAAATGGCACACGAGCATACCTTGCATAGGCGAGTCTCAGATGGGGAAGTTCAGCATCTCAGATGCTTATGGCAATGCTAAAGACTACTATGAAGAACGGATCCGCCTGGCCCTTTATTACTGTAAAGCCCCAGAGTTTGTCCATTTGGAAAAGAGTCTCTCAGCGCATCTGCATGGCCTGGACCCCAGGGCAGGTCAGGGCGCCCTGGCCACGCCAGTTCCCGGGCCACTCAAAACCCGTCGAAACCTTTGCATCTTCGTTTTCGGGCGGCTTAGTTGGCAAACCTTTTCCTGATAGTATACTGAGTCCTTTCCCGCATACCACCGACTCTAAACCTTTGCTTTTTTGCTGGCCTGAGGTTCCCTCCAGCGCACGGAAGCAGCGCTTCGTGGAGGCCGCTGAGATGGCCTGGCGCATTTGGGGAACCAGCGACACTTTCTTTGTTAGCAAGCAGCCTCTTTCAGAGCTCCTTGACAGTCAAACATTCCTTCTAGAGAATGACATTGACACGGACTATGCGCACCTGCCGGTACGAACATTTCTGCTCTTTGAGGCCTTGGGGCGGCCTGAGTGGGTAAATGCATGCGACTGGTATATGAAAGCTGATGCTGACAGCTTTCTGAACGTGCCTTTGATTGAGCAGAGGCTGCGTTGCTTCGACCCGTCGGATTTCTGGTTTCTCGGCGTTCCACAGGTTGCGCACAGCGCTAGGGGTGCAATGACGAGGTTTGCATCAGGAGGTGCGGGCTACATCGTATCACGAGCTTTGTTGCCAAAGCTAGCAACATGGGCTCCCTTCTGCTTGCTACAACTACTGCAGCATGCCGGAGGCACTGGTATGGAGGATGTCTCTCTTGCAGGTTGCATCTGGAAATGGGGCCACATAGATGTTGTGAGCTATGTGGATTACGAGACAGAGGTCATCACAAGCGAGGCCGCGCTCAACAGAACCAGGGTGACCCATGCACATTTGCCCAATGAGAAACTTGAAGTTCCGCCATGCTCCATGGTGGTACACTCAGTACGACCAGAGGAGCTTGAAAACGTCGCAGCCAACATCAAACGATCTTGGCATGAGCGGGACCCTGCCAGGAAATGCATTCCTGACCAGCACCGCTTGACGCAAGGTGCCGCAACACTGCTGTCCCCAGAGCTCAGCCACTTGGATTTGGAGGCCTCAAAGCTGGGGAAGACATATCACTGGGCTGTATATGGCGAGCGAGAGTTTCAAGTGCTGCTGGCATGTAGCCAGCAGCAAGCTGCGGACAACCGCACTCTTTGAGGCATGAAAACCGATTCTCGGCATGAACTTACGATCTTCCCGGAGCCCGGAGCAGGCAGGTCAATCCAAGCTTGCCATGACATGCTCCACGATAGACGAGGCGCGCGAAGGCCAGGATGTGCGGCTGGCGAAGTCGCCAGTTTGGTTTCTCATTGCAAAAGATCGCGCCAAGACTGGTTCACGTTAATGTTTGCGGCTCACATCTCGTGACCCGAGGTTGAAGGTCCTCGCATTCGAGGCGGGTCAGAGATTCGAGAATGCCAGGAAGGCTAGCTCATTCTTTTGACGTAGCTTGCTGGACCCCTTCGTATGTTGTATAATCTGGATGCCTTGCAGTGCAGGCACAGCGTCAGCGGCGGCAGAGTATCAAGACCAGTGCCGAGCTGGGGCAGGTTCTTGGGCAACTAAACTTGCTTCGGTGCTCACATGTGAGAAGGGGGTGGCACAAGAACAAGCATATAGGAGCAGCAAAACATTTCAATTGTGGTTACAACCCCCCCCTCCTCACATGTGGTCAGTATTTGGGGGGACGCCTAGAGCTCACCTATGACATCATCCTACCAGGCTTCTCGCACTCAGCTGCTGCTTTCAGAACATCACAATTTTGTGACAAGGTTGTTTCAACATTCAGTTGGCATCTTGCGCCAAGGTGTCCTGACCGTCCTAACATGTCCTAACACTGATCCAGGCTTGTGTTTGCATAGCTGCGGCCCATCAAGCTCGTAGGAAACCACCTGCAGCTGCTCAGATTGTTGCACGAATCCTAAGGCCGTCAGGCCCAAATCGTAATATCCATAAGTAGGGGGACCTGGATAGCCACCCAAAGACTACAATCTTTATAATGGGGACCCCCAAAAAGTATTAATCATGATAAGACACTATGTACTTCCTGTTTCCATTCAATTTTCTACTGTGTTTTCCGTTTGAGTCTTCATTTTAAGGGTAATATTCTTAAACCCTCAGGCCCAGATATATACAAATCCCGCAGGCAAAAGTCACAACGGAAACTCCGTCAAAAGTCCTCCAGATTTTGTATAAATCCTCATTACTGGGACCCCCAAAAAGGTACCCTAAACCCATCAACTCTACCCCCTAAGCCCTTAAACCCCAAACCTCAAATCCCATCCTAAACCGCTAAACCCCAAACCCAAAACTGGCGAGGGCCGAGGGTACCTGTGGACAGGCCTTGCTGCAGCCAGCATTCCTGCAAAGGAAAAGGGTCCGGAATAAAACCAAAACAGAAGAGAGCGCAGCTGATCATGTACATGTGCGCTCGAGCCCCACACAACGAAGGCACCCGCCCGAGCGTCTTGACAGATACAGCGAGGGTGGGTGGCTAGGCATTGACAGCCCAGGAGCGTTAGCTCTTTAAAGGAAGACCCCAAACCCTGGAAATTCGGCATCGCGTATGTTTCTTGAAAGGTTCCCTTCAACCCCCTACAGCCCCTGCCATCGAATGCACAGCCTTGTTCGTGCCTTATCCCGGAGAGGGATGCAGCGTGCCGGGGCACACTGCCCCCACCTCCCTGCAAAGCCAGGAAGCTTGAACTTCCCACACCTCCATGCGAGGCCCAAGATCCCTATCGTTGGGAGGCTACTCGAAACTCTAGAAATGCACGAGAACGAGCAAGGAAGCCCTGGGGTTTGGGGGAGGGAACCCTAAACCCAAATTGAGAAGAGTTTGGTGGTTGGGGTGGGATGACAGAGCTACGGTAGCCGCGAGGGTGCGCGCACCCGGCAATTCTAAGGAAAAGGTGCGCGCGCACGGCTACACACACTAAACCCACAAACCCTAAACCCTTAAACCCTAAACCCCATAAACCCTAAACCCCTAAACCCTAAACCTTATAAACCCTATAAGCCCTATAAACCCTAAGCCCCCTAAACCGTACATCCTGAGGCTCTGGCCAGCTTGGAGGAGCAGCGGCTCTATCGGAATCGTGCAGAGGAGGATTGGACGAAGCATTTGCTTACTGGGGTTAGTAGCGGATAATACATATATGTAGGGTTTAGGGTTGGGAGGGAATCAGCGAATATAGGGTTAGGTAGGTTAATATGAGGTTATATAGAGGTAACATGGGCAACCAGGAAATATTCAATGTTGGGACTATTTCAAGGGTATATTCCTTTAGTCCCTGCAAATCACCAATGAGTTTGGTTCATGCTGGCCTTAGTCGTCAAGCCAAATCCTGATTCTCCCTGTTCACAGGCAGCCCAACTGAACTTGGGTTCGCAAGGGTTGCTCTGAAGAACCCGGGGAGCTACTCAGACACTCGGCGAGAATGCAAACGCATGCAATCCGGGAATGTTATTTGATTTTTTCGCACGACGTCACAACCATCCGGGCACCCGTGTTGAGGTGTCGTAAGACCCGATACCTCAAGTACATGAGTGGTCAAATCTCGCAAGCGCAGGAGCTTTGGGCACATCTTCAGGCCGACAACGCACAATGTGTGGCTTTTCGATCCTTTGGTTCTTCCTCGTGTGATGCTGCAAAGCTTGTTTGAGGCAGGCAGCAGCCAAAGTTTGCATATGTGCGATGTCGGGCTCAAGGTTTGTAGTGCACCAAACGATTAAGTAACGGGTGCTGCAAGGAGGTGTCCCGTGTCGAAGTATGGAGATCCGCCTGCGCTTCACTTTCCTCGAGTTCAGCGATGAGCGGGATACACAACCATCGGCTGTGCGTTCTTCGAGTCTTCCACCATCTTTTGCACCTCGAACATCTCACAAGACTCGCAGCTCCAGCTTCAGGCAAGACACCGATGGGGAGCAAGCCGAGCCCTCAGATACATTCAAAAAAACCTCTGTCGCTTTGCCTCGAGTGGATGGAGACTGACTGCAGTGATGCTGAGGTCCAGCGGCAGCTTGACAACAACACCTCAGGCAGCTTACCATCTGATTCAGACTGGTTGCCACGGGACTTCACTTGTGCCGGCAGTGCTGGTCATCCTCACTTGTGTTCCCGTCCCTGTGTCTACATGCTGAAAGCTGGTCATTGCTCGGGTGGTGTGGGCTGTGGCTTTTGCCATCTCCCGCACCAACAGCTCCGTGAGCAGAAGCTTGCCAAGAAGGCACGGGCCCTGCTGCAAGCCATGCCGAAGCCAGATTTTATCAAGATGATGTGGTCCCTTATTCGAGAGAAACTTCTCTGTGCGGGCCAGGAAGTGATTTGGACAGTGCACGGTATCTTGGAGGAGGAGATGCACCACCACGAGACATCCACCCCTGAAGGCGATCTTCGCGTGTTCAGCCAAAGCCAGATCTGGAAGCTGCAGCAAGAGATTCAGAGGACCCGCATGAACTTGGCATCTCTGCTCGCGTTTATTGCGCGCCGGTGCCATGGACGTAACCAGGGTCGTCTGCGCGACATGCTGACAGACATGCGTCAGCGTGCCGGAGATATTTGATGTGTCAACTGTGAAAAGCCAGCCCAAGTTACATGAGTACTTGCAATCAAGAAGAAACTTTTGATCCCTTCCAAAATGCTCGGGCAGCTGGATAGGCGTTCTTTTCACGTTGTTTAATTAGGAGTCACTGGAAGGATGCCATGAGGCGTCCCGCGTGGAACCTCAAACTTTCGTACAGATGCATGCAGATGTCCAGAGAGCAGAAACAAGTACTGCCGGACGACGCTGTATAGAGATGTACAGTCCTGTCCCACATTGCAGCCAATGCTCCGTGGATTGAGACAGAACGCGAAGCGCATATGCAGATCTACCCTAGATCTCCGATTCCGAACTCCCTTCCATGTTCCACACAGCAAGTTCCAGACAGTTTCAAGTTTTTTTGGCGGAAAAATGGCCGCCAGAGGGCTTGGGCATGGGATGGTTTGATCAGCAGCCGGAAGTCTAAGTGGCTTGATCAACACCTGCCGCTACGGTCGCAAGCTAGCAGGTCCAGGAACGCCGTCAGCAAGACATCCAGGCAGCGCCTCGCTGTCCCGGCTGTTTGCAGCACACACGCGCAACAAGTCAGTTTGTTCTAGCGGGCTTCGATCATGCGTGCACCAACTTCTTTGGTAACTTGTCCTGTGACATGTCAGGGGGAACTCCAGAGTGCGCTTGCCACTGTGTATGCGTCTACACCAGGACTGTGCTGCTGGTCATGTCCACTTCGTGCTAGCAAGAATCCTTCCCCCGCACATAGATGTGGGCCCGAGCATCAGCTGCAGCCAGTAGTACTGACCAGAAATACTACAGTCGGGGCTTCTTGATTTTTGCGTTTTGGTGGATTGGTTTTGCAATCCCGGGAGGATGAAACATGTCGTTCTAGGATTTGGATTTCTCGTAATTGCGCAGTGGTTTATTGACATGAGGTCAGCATCACCTGGGGAATCATGGCTTCTGTGCGACTCCATGCTCAGCCTGCGCAGCTTCAGGACAGCCAGCAGTCGTGGAGGAGCCCTGGACGGCAAGTCTTAACGCTGATATTTGGCCATACTATTGCGATTGCTATTGGTATTATTGTCATGATTTTTATTGTTGATGATTACTGTTATAGTTATTGTCAGTATTACGATTATTTCTATTATTTTGTTCACGAGTATTGTCATCATTACTATCATTTCTACTATTTGGCTGTGTTAGTTTGATGGAGGATGCCCAGGTTGGGCCTGCGCAAGCCGATGCTGCAGAGACCGACGCGAAGGCAGACTTTTGAATTCATACTCATTATTATAATCCTGATTAAAGTGACCCCAAACGCTAGTTTTGGGAAACCACATTTGCTCCGATGTCGATCAGGCTGGCGATGCCGAAGTAGATGCATTTGTCCATAGCTAGTTGGCAAGTGCATGGCATTGCATCAGGTTCATCGCCTCAAGCAGCAAGTGGGCAGCGCCGCTGAGGAATTGAGACTGCAGTCAGAGCAGCTGCACTTGTTTGTTCCACGGGTCGACCGTTCTAGAGAGTCTGGATGGGATGCCTATCAGGAAAATTGATGACAACAGTTGCAAGCAAGAACACGTGAATTGACAAAAACAAAATTATATTGAAATGTTTGAAGAATTCCCATGGCTTGCTCACTAAAACCACAGTTCTCCTCTAAGTTTCTGGATAGACTGCAAAACAGAACAAAAGGAGGAAAAAGCATGAAAAAGCAAGCGTGCGAGAAAGAAAGAACGTAAGAAACAAAAGCAGGAACAGCAAGGAACACAAAGATGAATAAGGAAGGGAAGACACAGAAATTAAGAAAATCCATGATGTTTCCTTGTCCTTTTCAACATTCTCCCCGAAGATTCATCATTTTCCATCATTTTTCCATGACGTTCATCATTGTCCATGTTGTTTCATGATTATCTTTCATTTTCCAAAATTTTGTCATACTTATCCAAAAAGTGTCATCACACATTACCCTCCTTGATTTTTCATCGTCGTGCTTCATCATGTTCGAATCGCGTACCAGCATCGTTCACCATCTTGCATGTTTTCATGATCATTCATCACATGTTCACCATTTTCCATCATGTCAAGTCATGTTTCAGCTTGTTCATCATGCTTCATAGTTTTAACCACTTTCATCATGCTTTCATCATTTTCATCACATAGTCATTATTCTCCATCATGTTCCATGATCTCTCATCATGTTTCCAATCATTTTGCGCAAATGAAATATTAGCGGGGGGGGCCGCACCCCGTAACCCCCCGCCACCACCATCCCCCAACACCACGGAGTTTCTTCAAAACGAATGTATGCACCCACCACGTGTAGAAAATCTTGACATATGAGGTTGTCCGGCCCTTTACCTGCCTTATTAGTACACTTGTTTGTTGCATGTTTTTTCGTCATATGTATCATTGCTCAAAGTATTTTTTTATTGTTCAAGATTTGTTCATCGCATGTTATCGCTGTTCGGCATGCTTCTTAATTTCTATTATGTTTCATCATAGTGTATCATTATCATATCTATTATTGTCCAGTATGTTTCATCAGAATTCGTGACTTCCTGATCTTTCATATTTTCATCGTGTTCCAGCAATTTTTATTATTTGTGATCATCTTCATCATTTCCATCATAATCATTATTCATCTTTTCCATCATGAGGTTCCAAAAGCAACAACAGTTGCCAGGAGCACGACCCCAATCCCCGCAACCCCGCGCGACCGTCAACACTTGGCAAGAATTCACTGGTTGGATTCTATTTTAGTTGTTGATCTCCAAGTTTGTAAGGATTTTGCTGATTATACTTTAGTGTTTTTGATGGCTCACCCATCTGGATGGTGTCCAGCAAGTTTAAACCTCTGTACTACGTCTTTATCTGCCTACTTTGCTGCTGCTACATGTTTGGGGCGCGGGCCCTCTGATTGACCTTTTCTTCATTCGGCCTGGCACAGCTAGAGCTTGACTGGCATGGCCAGTTTTGCAGCGTGCCGCGGTCTTTGGGCATCGCATGCTGCCACTGTGGCTCAACAGCACTTCCCTTGACAAAAAGTCGAAGACTGCCGTCCGAAAGTCTGTATGAGTTTCTGGGCACTGTTGGTAGCCACCATCGAAACGTGTCTCTGCCAAGTCTCAAATTAAATGTCCGTGTTCCCCCAAACCAAGCAACACCAAGCAAGGAACCAAGCACAAGGAGTCAAACAGACACTTGCAGTGAGGGCTGAAGGCCATCTCCAGCCACGCAGAGTACGTTCAATGCTTTGACAAAGCTGTCACACGTACAGTAGCGCAGCACAGCCGCTTCACCTAGGACTCCGCACGGATCCTGTGCAAAGCAGCCCTGACTTTTTCTGGTAGCGCTCATGGGATGGGCAAGGGTGGCAAAGGACGCCGCTGGGAGATCTTGAACTATGCTGGCAAGGCAGTCTTCTCTCTGCTTTTGTTGCAAGATGTTGTGAGCTTTGTGACAACACTTGTCATGCTGGATGCCATGAGGGTCTCAGCGATGCAGACTTTGCAAGGCGACGTGGCCGCAGCCCACTGCAGGGCTTAAGTTCCCAAATGTCAGAGCGCGTCTCGGGTTGAGACATATATTGTGCCCCTGAACACTTTGGCGGGCCAACTTCTGTGAGCACACCAGGAGGGGGAGGAAAGTGGCGAAGGAGCTCGGGTGAGATGCCCCGTATGAATTCCCCAGCTGAAGAGTTGAACACAGTGCAGCAGACCCCCCGGATGACAAGCACAAGGTTGGACCTCCGCGCGGAATATGACAATTACTATGAGGAGGTTGACTTCTCAGCAGCTTGGCTCCAGAAGTCCGCAAAATGGCGCAGCTGAAGTAGCATCTGGCAGCCATACTACTTTCGAGATGGCCTAGACCCCCATTACTATAAAAGCACACACACACACAGAACCCATGTAGCTACAATGGCCCCATATGACCACGCGCGGCTTCATACAAGAGAGCTTTGTGTAAACTACCTAAACATGCATTCACAGCTGTTATTTTAGGTGATTGCAGCTGTGTCAAAACAGTGATGGCGCACACGACATTGAAGCTAGATCAAAAAGTGACGGGAGGGCTGCCACGCGTGGTGCCCGGCCTTGTCACAGGCAAGCGCAATTCGTTGCAGTTTCGGATTGGTTTGACCATTTTTCACGAACATGCATTCCTGTTTGAACGTCTAATGCGATTGCAACCCTAGACCTTGCCACAACAGAAGATACCCTTTGCTCTTGTGCTCGTCTTGACAGGCGTGTGATTGGAATTCTGAGCATGTGCACACACAGTGATCTCATGCATACGGCAACACTTAGCATGCGCAGGCTGAGCAGTCAATGGATCTCGCACCGAAACACAGCAGTGCTGTGAGTAGTGCAAGCAAAGACATGCAGCACCAACCACGATGTAAGGAGAACAGCTTTTCCCGCGGTGGCTTGCGCTGCATCCTGGACCTTTGTGTCCACTGCCCCCGGCTGAAGGCTGACATGAGACATGTTTGCGTGCAGTATGATCAGTCTGACATTGTGTGACGCTTCCAGCCAGCGTAAAATCCTAGAATATTTCAGGAGTAAGTAGGCTGGGTGTGGTATCCGAGTCATTGTCGATTGGGCTGGCCCTGTGTAACATCAAGTTTTACGGCAACCTGCACGAAAACGCTGTATTCCTTGTGCTTTCACAGCCATTCGGGTAACAGGGTGCAACTAATGCCAAGTAACTGCTCACGCCGGGGCAACCTGTGAGATTCTCAAGCTCTTCAAAAATGACATCGACGACGAGGGTGCCGATGCACAGCCTTATTAAGCAGGCGGTAATGCTTTGACGGGAGTGACTTTTCGGCTTCTGGATGCCAGTCCCCAACGTTATTTGGTGTGAGCATGAGATCGTGTGCGGTGAGTCAACAGCTGGTTGTTGTGCGTCTTTGGCACGTCTTTGGCTGACCAGATTGTGAACAGACTCAGACATCGCCAAACAACTCCATCAGCGCGCCGCACCAGGTTGTAATAGTTGGTAAAATGTGCTTACCG